GTTGGATCACACACTAGCCTTAGTGCAGCCTGCTGATAAGCAACCCAAAATATAGCTATATAACCCTTATAATCCTATAAGGAACCTAAATATAGCTATTTAGTTTCTGTTCAAAGCAGATGTGTGCAAAAGCTTGGTGTCTTTCCCCATCATTGGGAAATCCTAGGAATTCATTTCTGTCTTCAAATACATACTCTACTTCATGTAAAGTTGATGGAGGGCATATAAGTGTATGAGGTTTGTAGACAGAGATAATATCACTTATTAGACCAAATAATGTAACTTGAAGTAAGTAGAAAAGATTTTGAGTATCAAGCCTTTAAATACATATCCTGGCAGAGAGAGTGAGTGAAATGTGAAATACCCTGTGTTACTTGTGTTTGAATAGCAGCAGATAAGACATTTTATATACTCTCAGAAATGTCCCCATCTCCTGCACAGTGCACTATTGCTAGCAAAGCAGCCTGCAGCAGAAAACTCATGAGGCAATTCTTAGGAGGCTCTTGGTCAAAACTGCCCTTAACATCTTATGCTCATCTCACAATGAGCATCTGCTCAATAATTAGCTTTTGAGCTTAGGAAAGGCTGTGTAGTGGCACTAATAACTTCAGACACAGTTTTAGGAACTTCACAATTCTGAAAGTTTCTTTTATTTTACTTCACTGCTTATAGAACCGGCAATATGTTGCCAAATGAACACTCCAATAGAGACAGATAACAAAATGGTCCAGTGAAAGAAAAAGGTGTGAAAAGCGGTTAGCATTTCACGAAGACCAATAAGGCGGAAAATGTTTTGCTTGGTTTTTATATGGTAAATAAGTCTTTCAAAATCTGTTTCAGGCCTGTGATCAAATTGGCCCACTGTAATTTTTTAAGAGGGGGAAAGGCACAGCAGATGGAAAGGGACTGAACCAACTCCATTAAAAACCTGGTGTTGCAATTTTTTTCTAAAATGAGGCAAAGAGAGTAACGGGGAACCTACCATAACAGCAGCTCATCTGTTCTTGATGTATCTCTTTATTGTTGCAGTTACTGAGACTCAGCTTTATCTTGTGCGTGAGCACAATAGTGACACCATATTGAAATGTGTAAATATATTTTCATAAACTATGTAAAACACCTCCTCTTTACTGACAAAATGATGCACTTAGAATACATGAAATCCTGAGAAAATGCTGCTGCCTCGGGTTCCAAATTCCTCTGATTCCTCATCTAAGTTTTATTGCACATGCACTGTTATCTGACAAATATATCTGCCAGACTATTTAAAAAATACTTTGTCTTATCATTTAAACAGCTCCTGTCAATGTTACCTAGTCCTTGTTCACACTGCTATCCCTGTGAGTGATGATACAGAAATAGATCTGGCTAAGGTCGGTGTGTGTAGCCCAGATCCGTAACATTGGCCTTTCTTATTCCTGTCTGCAGTAAAGCCAAAGTATTTTTGAAGAAATGAAGGCTTCAAAAGGGACAGCAGTAGGGTCAGGGACAAGAACTGCTTTTTCTGACTTCATTTCCCTCTGCTCAGTGCTTGTGACCCACGATTTTGTTGGGGTTTCTGATACAAGGGTGTATTGTCCCCTTGGGTACCAGCTCACACATTAAGCCCTGGTGTCCCACACAGTCGGGAGGAAACAGAGGCAGAGGGCAGGAGGAAGAAGGCAGGAACAAGGTTGGAATAGGACGACTCCCATAGCCAGATGTTGATGCAGAAGTCACCTATGCCCTGATGAACTACTTCTGTGGGGCTCCACAGACACAAGCCTTTGGCTGAACACCAGCGATGCACAGGGCTTTGTATCCAACTGAGTGCGGAAAACATCTCCCTGGGGAAAAAGTGGAAAAAAAAAAAAAAAAAGAGTGACTAAAAAATGAAACAAATGAAAGGAACTCCGCAAATCCAGATGTTGGAATTTTCCAATCCCCCTAGCAAGACAAGATAAGCAGTGGATAATCCTTGTTTATATAACTTTTCTTTTTTTTTTTTAATTTTTTTTTTTTTTTTTTTTAATAAAACCTGAGACCAACAGGCATGTTTTCACCAGGTTTGTGTGCTTCTTTTCCAAATCCGCACCGAGAAGTTTCGCTAGGGCCCGCACCCCCCTCGGGCCGGGCGCTGGGGAGGGTCCCCGTCGGTGAGCACGGCTCTCCGGGGGTCCCTCGGGCAGGGCAGTAACGAGCACTGGGCCGGCTGCCCTGGCTGAGAGCCGGGCCCCTCCTGAGTCCCGGCAGGCCTCGTTGCGGGCCGCTGGCCCCGCACAGCCCCTGGCTCCGGCGGGGACGGTGGTTCCCGGCCCGGGGGCGGCTCTCGGCCCCCCGCCCGCCCTCAGCGGGCCGGCGCAGAGCGCGCTGCCGCCGCCGGGGGGCGCGCTGGCGCCGCGGCCGCCCCTCGCAGGTGGCTGAGGGGCCGGGCCGGGCCGGGGCTGCCGCGGCTCCCGCGGCCCTGGTGGGCAGCGCCCCAGCCCTTCGGTGAGGGGGCAGCCTTCCCTCCCGCGGCCTCCAGCCCAGCGCCCACCCGTGAATTCTTGACTCCGGGGAGCAAGGACGAGGACGGCGTCAGTCTGTGCCTAATTTCCCACCGAGCGCGCGTTGCGTGGCGGGCCGGCTTAGGGCTGATCTGCCGTCCAAATAAAGCAGCGCGTCTATTTCTGGCCGTGGCTTAAAGAGGAGCAGATCTCATGTACCACGTTGGAAGTTCTTGAAAAACAGCCAACGTACAGAGGTCAAGTTTCCTGTACTGACAGCAACTTAGCGGCATGTGAGACGGCAGTGTCCTTCGTGAGGAGCTGGAGAACTGGGTCACTGTGCATCCTTCACTAATCGCTGGGTTCCAATTATAAATTACTTTAGTCTCTTTGGAAGCAACGTGGAGAGGAGAGAGAGGATCTACTTGAAAGCCTGTAACTGCCTCAGCCATGGGAGCCAGTGGGAGCATTGCCAAGGGGTTCATGTTGGCAAGATGAGGGTCAGGCCCCCAATATTGCTCAGTTGATGATATAATGAATAAAAAAAATACACACTTGTGGTATCCACTGGGATCTGACTCTTCATTAAAAATTAAGGGACAAGGCAGACAATATGATTGATTGGCAAATTTCCCCAGGGTCTACTTTTAAGAAATCATAAAACCCCTTAGCGATGCCTTGCCCAAAGACAGTGCTTTCTGTATCTGCTGTTACTCAAGGGCAGCAGCCCTCAGTTTTACATAGAGTTGTACACAAATATACTCTACCAGTATGCCCATGGAACTGCCTACTCTTGGAAAATCTTGCATGGAAGGATTTAATGTTGACAGACTTAAGTAGTGATGTCTCAACTGTGAAGAATCTGTTGTTTAACCAACTTTATGAAGCAAAAGTGCCTATCATTAAAGTGAGAGTATTCCCTTTGGTTTTAGAAGATCATTGAGGCTTTAAACATCTATGCAATTTGGTATGCACATAATTTGATAGTCTGTTTTACAAGAAGTTGATTAGAATCAGAAGAATCATCCTAACTCCCGCAGAAGAGGACAATGAAATGTGCGCAGATCAAACAGCCTTAAAATGGAAAAAGGATTTATATAGTGGCAAATTGGGCAATGGCTCTTAAAACTACAGCTGTAGTCTTCTAAACACCCTTTTACGTTATTGGTGAGTTGGTAAGTTATGATTTACTGTCATTTGATGTAAAATTAACTGTCACAAAACATTAGCAATCACTGCCTGAAACCACAAGGCTGCTTTTTTAAAATTCTTGGTTTTGAGTTTTCTAGGAATGGACTGTCACTGCCTGTTTTTCCCAGAAGCATACACTTCCTTATTTTTACCTTTGCTAATACTTTAATATTTACCTTTTTTTCATTCATAAACATGTTAGCTGCTTTGTGTCTGTAAGGCAAAGAAGGACAAGTATCACTTTCTCACCAGCTGGGGCAATCTTAGAAATAGTAATCACTTTAATTTCCCAGCTTGATTCAAAACACTGCTATTTACACTCCCATTGTGTGGTGATATCCTTCTGTTTACGTGACCAGGTTTAAAATTTAACTACATCCACCATGGTGTTTTTCTTGCTAATTCAGAAGACAAGGATTAAAAAGTAAGCAGAAAGAAGGCTCAGTGGTACTGCTCCTCTGTGGAACTTGGGAAGCATGGCTAAACAGGATTACATGTATTATTAGGGTCCTGATCCCACAGCCCTCACCAAACTAATAACTTGTGCAGGAGCTTTGCCAAAGGCCGAGTGAGGGCAGAAGGCAGCAACAGTTGGCACTAAATGTCAGCTGCCTTAAAATAATGGGCATTTTTCTCCTAAATATTTTAAGTAGACCTGTATGTATTTGTGTCAGCGCTTCAGTTGGCAGCAGTTCCTGGGGGAGGGGGGTCAGAGATGTCCCACTGTGGAATACTTCAATCATATATTGTCCTTCTCCTGAGCCACTGGAAATGAAACTGGTTCCAGTGTCACGCAGATCTGGATTGATGCAGCAATATCCTGTGTTACCCTGTGAGGTAAGAGAGAGGCAGAGGGTGACACCCACCACCCTCCCTCCCCACGTTACAAACACTTTTTACATAGCTCTTCCAGGTGAGATAACAAATATACAAAAGAACAAAGTCTACTATATAAATGAAAGCAGATTTATAAAATTACAAGTTTAATAGATAAATATAATAAATACTTTATGCATCATAACTCTGGACAACTACATTTAAAGCAAGTATGTTGGCAAGTCACAAAAAAAGTTGCGCCCTCGGCAACTTTATTTTTCAGAAAACCACACTGACAGGCATATTACAATGTAACGCATGAGGCTTTATGCTGTAAGTATGTTCAAATCCCGCTCACCTACCGAGTTCACTGTGACATATATATGGGTGTAGTGTACTTTCTATCTTGGAATGTCTTTTTGCACACCAACACAGTTGTACAGATAAGATGTTATGTTCTACTTACCAGGGACAGTGGGGAAGAGTTTTGAAGAAAAATACTGGTAAATGACTTCTAGAAAAACTAAAGCATTTCTTAACTTTTTATTGACATTGGCAAATTAAAATAGAATAAATTAACAATATTTTCTCAAAAAAAAGTTTTGTACAAAAATACTGTCAAAATTTCCTGAAAAGCTTTCAACACAGTAGTATCTTTTCATGTACTGAATAAACTATATTAGCACAGTGTCAAAACGCTGAAGACAGAAACAAAATTAAAAAAAAAAAAAATCTGTGAAATGTTTGCCACTAGTCAACATTCCATCCACACCATATTATTGTCTGTACATATGGGGGAGGGGGACTGGGTAGCAGACTTTTTAAGTAACAGTATTACTTTTCCTGATCTGGAAAGGTTTGGCCCACATCTGTTAAGCTTCCAGTTTAGCGTATTCAGAAAAGAAAAAAAAAAAAAAATTAGTCTGCACTGCAATGCATAGTTAAAAATTAAGCAAGATGGCAGCTTTTGTGCAGTAGTATCTGCCCTTCAAAGTTCATGCAACCAACTAATGCAATTTTTTTTCCCTGTTCACTCAGAATTTGAATGCAGTTCAAGTCACTGGAAATCATAGTTTACAAAATCCACAAGATTAAGCAATTTGCCAAGATTAATATCTAACAGTCCGGCACTGTGGGAATTCTGGGCATGTTACTGTGAGGAAATTAAGAGTGGGAGGTCGGGAGGGGGGCAACCAACATAAAAAGGCAGAGTTCGCTAGATATTATTACTACAGGAGGGGACGTGAGTGACAAAGCTACAAAAAGAAAAAAAAAAGTGACAGCGATTTAAAAAAAAAAAAAAATTATACAAGCGCATAGTTGACTCTGCTTTCCAGATTCTCACCTTTTCAAGCCCTGAAAAGTGAGACACCGTGTCTAGGGGAATGTTTTCATTCGCACCGATAAAAGTCCTTTGTTTGTTTTAAATGAATCAGCAGCTCACCCTGCTGGGCTGCTGTTTGCAAACGAAGTCTGTCATGAAGTCAAACTCGTTCTGTCCCAACCACAGCTCGGGAAGCTCCTTGATGCGATCCAGCCCCATTTCGATGACTAAGGACATGAGGACCTCCTCGTCGATGAAGTCCGTGTCTATGACATTGGGCGGCAGCATTGCCGCGGGGACGTGGGGGACGGCGGGCGGCAAGCCGCTGCCGCCGCCGCCGCCGTGCTTGGGGTTGCAGTCCCTGAAATGCTGCTGGCTGCCGCCGTTCAGCTGGTGGCTACCGGCGTGCAAGTCCGGCATGTAGTGGCTGTGCGGGTACGGGTGGTGGCTGAAGTACTGGTTGTTCAGCTTCTGGAGCTGCATGCTGGCGCTCAGCTGCCCTCCCGGGCTGGCGACGGGGGGGGCCATGAACTGGGAGCCGCTGAAGCGGGCGGGGGGCGGCATGCTGCCGGCCGGGTGCCCTCCGCTCACGCTGCCCGGCCCCATGGCGTGCCTCACCCCGCTGCTCGCGTTCATACTCCCAGCTCCGTAATGTATATGGTCGCCCATCAGGGCGCTGAAGGCGTGCTGCTGCGGCGGCTGCTGCTGCTGGTGGTGGTGATGGGGGGTGGGAAACTGCCCCATGCCCATCCGATGCGCAGGGTGGTGGTGGAGCCCGCCGGATCCGTCGGGGAATCGCCCGTGGTTCATGGCCATCATGTGGTCTGCCATGGCTCACCTGGAAAGTTAGCGTGTGAATATATTAGGAAAATACACCCTCCTCGGACATCCAGCCGCCCTCTCCCGGACCAGCTGCATCTGCCTGGCCCTGGCAGAAATTACTTCGCTGGTCCTGCAGTCCTGTCTCTCCATCCCGGTGGAGGGAATAATAATAATAAAAAAATCTCCCAAAAATCTACAGTGGCTCCACCGTGGAGTACAAAAGGAAAAATAAAAGGAGAGCCCGCGGAAGGAGAATCCCGGTCCCCTCCGCTAATCCGGCGGGCAGCACGCATTCCCACTCCAAGTCGCGCGTACCTATCGGCGGGGAGCGTCGCATTCGGCCACCGCCGCCGCCTCCCCGCACGCTCCGGAGCCGCCCAAGCCCCCCGGCTTCTCCCTCGAAGGCAGCGGATTCCCACGGCACTCTCGCTAACTTGAGCGGAACAAGCAAAGAATTGGCAAGTCCCACCTAGCCGCTGTCAGCAACTTTTGGAATCAAGTCCCAATTATTTTGGTGAAAACACGGTAATGAGCAGATAAGGACATGAAGCCAAGCAGCTGAAAAGCACCTTTCCTCGCGTGTTTATACAGTCACGTTTTTCCTGTTGCACACAAAAGGGACACCCGGCACCAGCCACGAGAACCGCCGCACTCACCTCCCGGCTTCTTTCTTCCTCTCCTTCAAAGGTGGCGGTGGAATCAGTCAGCGAGAGTCACCCAGCATAGAGAGGGCAGCTCCGGCTCCCTCTCCCCGGCGCTGACGTGACCGGCGCCGCGATCGCTGCCGCAGCCCCGGAGCTGGTTCTCGCCCCTCCGCGAGGCGCATCGGCACTTGCCAACAATGAGCTGTGTTCCTTACACGGCTTTGGCCGCGGCTAATATAGGATTTCAGAAGGGAGGAGCAAAACCCTTACAGGCAACCAGAAGTAAAACCTGGAGCAAGCGGGGCGGGGGGGGGGGGGGGGAGGGAAAAGGGGGGGAAGAAAAGGGAAAAAAAAACCAACCCGAGCACCCAACACCCAGCGCGCGGGCGCAGGCCCCGGGGCACACGCGTGTTCGGCGACACGCGGGAAGGGGACACCGGCTCGGGAAGCACCGCGCACCCGCGCTCAGCGCCTCCCCCGCGAACAAAGCGGGGCTCCGCGGCGGGGCGGCAGGAGCGGCGCCCCGCGCACCCCCCGCACCCCGCCGCCGCTCTCCCGCCGCCCACGGCCCCGTCCGGCCCCGCGCCCCGGCATCGCCGCTGCCCCTTGCGCCCCGTCCGGTCGTGTCGCTGCAGCGCCGCGGCCGCCGACACGCGTGGGACTGAGCGCTCCGGGCAGGGCGAGTCCGGCGCCGCCGTGGTGCAGGTGCCCCGATCCGCCGGCGTGAGGCCCCAGAACCCGCGTGGGCGTCCACGGGGCCGGCCCCTCCCCCGGAGCCGAGATCCGAAATCCACCTTTTTCCACAAACACGGGAGCCGTATGCGGGAGGTGTATGTGGGGATACCGGCACGCTCCCCACTTCCCACGTCCCTCCATCTCCTGTTTTTTGCCCACTGCCACCCGGGCTGTGCAGGGCGAGTGCCCACCCACTCTTGCCTTTGGCCGGGGTTGTGGGGTTTATTACACTTATTTACGATTGTTTCCATTGGAATGGCAAAAAAACCCCAGAACATGCGGGTTTCGGGTGGGCACACGCTTTGCAATCGCCCGGGCTGGGCAGGTCCCCTGTCTTCCCCCTGCCCGGCAGAGCCATGCCTCGCTGCACAGCCCCGGCAAGGACCACGCGTACCCAAGCTTCCCCCCCACCCCGAGGCCGTCGCTGCTGCCTTTTGCTCCAGATGCAGCTCCTTTCTGAAGGGCAGCCATGCTGTCCTTCAAGTAGAGAGAAGAGCTGAGGGGCTGGGGGAGGCATGCCACAGGGAAGTGCTGGGTGGTGGCCCACTTTTCCACAGTGCCTTTGGCTGCCCTTCTGCTTCCGTGTTTGTTTTTCTTCTTGGAGCCGTCTACGGGCACACAGAGGACAGGCAGGACACACACAGGCAGGACACTCCCCCGGCACAAAGAATTGTGACTATGAGGTCAAGACGGCCATCGTGTAGGCTGAGATGGGGTTTCTGCTCCTCCATGTGCTTTGCAGGGATGCAGCACAGTGCAGGAGGGCCTCCCTGGGGAGGCACAGGTGAGACAAATGGGATGCTTCAAGAGGCTCTCCATGTGGCAGCATCTTGCCCTCTTTTGGGTGGGCCAGGCTCTTACTTGGCTGCTGTGACTTACAAAACCTAAAGGATGGTTAGCTCTGCCTCCATCTCAAGGAGAGACAAGGCAGAGCTGGGCTCCTGGCACTGAGGTGATGGATGAGTGTCTTTGTGTGGCTGGTGCAATCCTTTGGCAAAGCCACATGGGCAGATGGCAGTTGTTGGGCAGACATGGGATACCAGGAAAGTACCTGGCTGATGTCTCAGCTGTGAGGGACAAAAGGGGTGAAATCAAAGTGCTGAGAGTACAGAAAGCTTTAAAAGTGTGAGTTACTGCAAGGAAGTTACCTTATCCTGGAGCTCCCTTTCCTGCAGCAGTTAAGTAGGGTGCCCACCATGATTTCACCTTTTGGTCTTCAAATGCATGTCAGTAGATGAATGGAGTAATTGCCACTGAACAAGGATCTCCAACACAGCCAGAGATGGTCAGAAAAATGACAGTACCTTTCTGGAGTTTTTTCCTTCTCATTGGTGTGCAAGTTTAGCAGGACAAAACAATGAATAATATGGAGATCCTGTTCCATTTGGCAAGTAGTCAGCTGTGTATCATGACAAGTGGTTTGTTTAATGTCACATATCCATGGTGATACTGGTATGCCTTTTTGCTCTCCGCTGCTTTAAATTTGTGATCCTTTTTAAAGCCAAGCACACATCGTATCACTACCCTGCAAATGCCCTTTCCTATTTTCAGCTTTCAGGTGCTGGAAGCTGCCAGCTTGCCAAAGTGAGTTATGAACAATTGGTGCAAGACTGCCAGAAGCAATAGTAGGGAAGTCACAGCCTCCATGACACTTCACTCATAGAAAACATATCTTCAGGTATTTACAGCCCACATACAAAGAATTAGGTGGGATGGTGCTTTCTCCATCGGGGGCTGCAGTGGGATCCAGATAAAGCTCAGCAGAGCAGTGCCAGACAAGGCAAGTCTGTCATTGTTTATGGCCATAGCAAAGTGGGAACACAGTCAGTTGGTTGCTTTCCAGGAATTGGCTGGAAGAGTTGTGACTGGCAGCTAAGGGAATGCAGGACAAAGCATGAGCCCATCACCAGTGAGCTCTCATGAAATTCTGAATCTCATTTGTTTGCTACTCCTGATCTAAGCCATGGTTATTTAAAGAAATCTTCTCACTCATGCTCTTCAAAGTCTTTTGCATAACAGTTGGTTCCTCAGCCAGACAGCAAGAAAGCAGGGCACTGCATATCAGGAGAGAGCTGGAGATGGCCAGGGGTGGGAATGAAACCAGCAGGATTCAGAGTTGCTTCTCAAGTGAAGAATCGGAGTAGAGTTGAAAGCAGAATGTGACTGAAGGGCCCATCTAGGACAAATCACTGAGAAATATCAAACACGACAATGGAAAAGAAAGACAAAAATGGATCCTTGGTTGAATGTTAACATTTTGGATTGGAAGGCTGGCTTGCAGATGTGGCTGTGCTTAGTCCTTCCAGAGTGGAATGTCTGCTGTTCGTGGTGAAAGGAAGGAAAGGAAAATCACAAAGGAGAATCCCAGATGGTGTGTTTTTAGATATCTACTGGAAATGTTTAAGCTTGCTCAGTGTTGTAATATATCCCTGGAACAAGATACCCAGGACAACAAATTTCGGACAACAGGTTGCCCTTCTTTTGCAACTTTGAAAATGTAATCCCCAACTCTCAGTAACTTGTCTGTCCTAGATGATGCTGGAGGTGAGTTTCTATGTGTTCCCTCCCACGCTGACACAAGGCAGTCAGGAAAATCCAGATCAGGACAACTACTAGGGTTATCTGATAGGAAATTTTATATTAGAATTATATCCTGGAAGAAATGCCCTTTCTGTAGAAATGACACTCTGCTATTGAAAAGACAAGCCATGATTTTCTGGCTGCTCTCACATCTGACCTCTCAAAGCTACCTTCACCTAAGCTACCCACCCTTCTCAGAGGCACCTGGCGGCTGGGATGGAGGAGGGAACTGTGGTGCAGGATGTCCCCAGCTCTTTGCTGAATGGCTGTCCCTAGTTTCACTGCCCACCCCGAGGAAAAATGATGAGTTTGTTCCAGATGGACACCCAGGAAGCAGAGAATTCTGTTTTGGTCTCTCAGCATGCCTGTGTATTGCCCCCTGGAATTCCCTTTGAGAGAAGGGCAGTTATGGTTTTTCTGCTGTTAGAGTTTTGATTATCAGGGAACTCTGTTTTCTGGGTTTCTGAGAGAGCTGTTATTCATATGGGATTGAGAGGAAAGATTGGACACAAGATTAACCATGGGTCTAGTTATGAGAACCTCTGTGTATCCAGGTGGGAAGGAATTACCATGGCCAGTTTGGCCTTTGGAACAGCCCCAAGGTTCAGACCATGGCAGAACATACAAGATTAACTCAGTTTACTTAGTTCAGTATCAGACATGAGTTTCCTAAATCCATCACTGCTCCCCTCTGTTGGTCCAGACGCTAGCCAGGCATTCCCCAGAGCTGAGCATCTATCTTCCTGTTTCTGCAATCTGCTATCCCAGGGAAGGCCATTGTTCAGAGTGGTGCTGCACCTGACATACAGGTGGGCAGCTCAAGTATGGATGAGATGACCCACTGAGGATTGTTTTCAGTGGTGGCCTGTGTCAGCAGGAGTTACTGGAGTGGTGTCAAAGCACATCTGTATGGTATTCATAAGAGTGGCTAATAGGAGAAAGTCAGTGGAAATGCAGAAAGAGACATAGAATGTGCTATCTCAATTAGTCTGTATGGGATTAATTTTTTCTTTGACAGGTTTGACAGGATAAACCATCTCTGTGCTGGTTGCAAGTGGTTACAGTGCTGAGAATTGGGGTTACAGGTGTGCTTTATTAGCAGTAAATCATTCTGAAAGGAGTAACCCAGCGTAAGGAACTTACTTGAAGCATTAGGGGATATGTTAGAGGGTTTCATGTGTTTGCATCTCTTGTAGATATGCCAGGAACCAAAGATGTACACATAAAATTGGTGGTCAAAATTAAGGAACACAGGCTATGCAAAGTGTGTTACTCTCTTCCCAGACACATTTTTTGTTTTGTTAGATGGATTAAGATACTAATGTGCCAGTATATTTTACTTTGATAACAATGAATGTGGCTTTGCACCCTTTATCTCCATGATCTTATTCATGTGAGAATGTCTTGGCAAGCTCCATTTTTTACCCTTATATGCCCTTTTTGTGCAGTCTTTCAAACTTGTGTAATTACAACTGAGAGTATTCCTTAAGTGTAATTTCACTGCAAGGTGTCTTTTTTGAAAAAGTAACTGCAAAAAAGGGAAAATATATTAAAAACTTTATTTCCTGAAGAGGCACAAGAGGATGTAAATATACTAAAATAAACACACACATAAGCAAATAATGAATCAAGCATCATTCCATTTGTACTTTGTCACACAGAACCCCAACACAGACCTTTTCAGTACTCTTTATGTTTTGATATCAGTGGGAACCAGAAATAACAAAAGGAAACATTCAGGTGCTTTTGACAAAGCAGTGGCAGCTTCTGTAGTAAACTGAATAACACAAGCTTCAAATAGAGCACTGAGGTGGAAAGTGGTCACCAGGGCTAGGCTGTATGAACAAATATTTTTTTCATTTGGAGACCAAGCCCCACTAATGAGTACTAATACTACTCATTTGGGTAAAGA